TGGAGCAACTAGAACTCTCTTACGATGCTGGTAGAAATATAAAACTTCAATCACTTTGAAAAGTAGTCAGTTACTCGTGAAGTTAAATATATACCTATTGTGCTTTCCAGCATTCTCACTTCTAGGAATTTACCCAAGAGAAATAAACAGATATGTTCCTTCACACAAAGACTTGTACAGGAATAGTTATAGCAACTTTATTCACAATAGCCTAAACCTGAAAATACCCCAAATGTCAACTAACAAAGTTTTGGATAAACACACTGTGGTATATATGTACAATGCAATCCTACTCATTATGAGAAAGGAATGAATTATTGAAATATGTAACAGTGTGAATTAACCTAAAAATCATTGCACTGAACAAAGAAGCCAGGCATGGAAGAATATGTACTGTATGATTCTATTTATGTGAAACCGTAAAAGGCACAATTAATCGCACTAATTTATACTCTTAGTTCTTAGCCATGGGGCTTATTCTCAACATGGCAGCTACTTCTCTAAGGCCTGCAAGAAACTCTCACTCCAGTCTGCTTGGACAAAGTACTGTAATGTAATTGCAAGAGTGACTATTCCAGCATAGTCACAGATTCTGCTCACTTGGAAAAGGAGGGTATTATACTGGGCATGAACACCAAGGGGTGGGAATTTGGAGGCCACTGTAGAGGCCATCCTGCTTACTGGAGTTGGGTTTTCTTTTACTGTACAGAAGTTAAACTGAGATCAATGTATTTTCACTGGACTTAATTCTTGTCTGTTTCCACTTCCTGCATATATAATGTAAAATGCGAACTTCTGTCTTGACTGGGAGGAGCAAGATATGCGAGACACACAGTTTGCTAATGTGGGAAAATGACATGTGAGCTTTGCTTGGTCATCACATAATAGGATTAGAAGTTTGAAACTCAATCCTTCTCGCTCAGCTCTAGTATTGAATGCCTACTCTGGTTTGTGAATTGGTGTTTAATACTGTTTGGAACATTATTGAGATATTTAAGTTTTTACAATGAAAGATTTACCAAAGTCTGATAGCTGCCAACACATACACATACACACAACACTATATATTGATTACAAAAAATATGCAATCAAAGAAATTCAACTGGGCCTGTAATGCTGTATTTTTTTAAAAAACAGATCCAGAGAAAATATAATAAAATGTTCACATCTGCTAATTCTGAGTAGAGGTATATGGATGACATATTATTCTTTCTCTTTTATCATATTTACATAAAGAGTAAGTAAATCACTATGATGTAAATTTGCTGACACATTCTTCTTTATAAAATCTTCAAAATTTTTCCTATAACTTCCTTAGGAATAGTAAGCCATGAGTAGATATTATGAGAAAACTAAGACTCAGGGGTCTTAGTGTTGCAGGGGTGCATATGTTGGAGAGAGTTCTTGAACCTACTAATTGGTCCCTCAGCAGTATTCTATTACCTGGATATCTGGTTTCATCTTAACAGGCTTATCGGGCCAAGTAACGAAAATGTTAAGTCAGGCTCTGAGCACTGCTCTTGTACCTGAAGGAAATCCTATAGGGTAGATTACAATAGGCTTCCATTAAAAGCCTCTCCCACTGACTGAGTGAAGAGGAGGTTAAAGGGTGGTGTTCATTCCCCATTAGAGGAAGTTGGGTCAATTTATAAAATAGTAGCAAGGGATAATTTCTCCTGATTCATCACTTTAGTCATTGTCTAACACTCGGTTTTCCAAAGTATGTTTTCAAGAGCACTTACTCTGTGGAAACCCTACAGAAATGGAAAAAAAAAAAAATCCTGAAAACTAAAAGCTTCCATAGTCAAATATATTTGGGAAATATTAGATTAACAGCTTTCTTTACTTCATCCAAGAATACGTATAGTAGGATTCTTTTCCAAATATATTTGTGTTTTGGAAATGTATTTGATCATGACTCTTTTCAATATCGTTTCATTATTTTGAGAAACACTCTAACAAGATTATCTCTGATTTTTAAAATCCTGGAGCAGCCACAGAGAAGCTGATTTTCCTAAAAATCATGCTGATAACTGTTAGGCAAGCTCTCCTTACTTACCAATTCACTGGTTCTCAAAGGCTGCTCTGTTATCTCCAGTTCCTCTCTAGCTGTTTCTGGATGCTAAAATAGAAAAGAAATGCCTGCTCTTTCTTCTCTCTTTCCTCTACTTCTGGAAATCAAAATAGAGACAGATTATATAACCTTGGCCTTCCCCTGAGTGTATTGCTAGGGATATTCAAAAGCATTCCTCAGTACCTTATGAATGGCTTTGTAGAGGATCTCATGTTAGATAAACAGGGGGTTTCTTACTCTTTCTAAAAATTAACTCCAATTTTCTCATTGATTTACACAAAGATTTCAGATGGGCTGCCAATATGTATTTGTTCCTAACAAATTAGTCTTAAGCCTCCTCCCCACTCTTGCCCATTTTTTTTTTTCTGACAATTACTTAATGATGTATAAACAAACACTTAAAAATACAAAAGGCAACCCAATATTTGTACAACTCCTTTGGGAATCTTTTTATAAACTAAAGAGTCCTTTCAAAATGTGAGTGATTCTTCAATAGAACAGACTAGAAAGTACGGAAATAATTCCAAACGCATCCATGAATTTAGTATATGCTATAGGAGAAATGGGTGTTGATTAAATGATGTTGAGACAACCAGGTAGAAATCCAGAAAAAAAGGAAAGTTGAATCTGCAACTCACACCTAACCCAAAATAAATTCCAGATAAATCAATTTTAACATGAAAAATAAAACTACATAAAGGACTTGAAAAAAACAAACACACATTCCTGTTATTTGAGCTGACATAATACACACTAAGCTGGATATATAGTCCAGCTAACAGCCAGCACCAACTTCCAGGCACTTGAGTGAGGCCAAGACCATGCAGCCACAGTTAAGCCACCATGCCTACATGATCCCAGGCAAGCCAGTGGAAGAACCATCTACCTGAGCCCTGTCCCAGGTAATGACAATGAAATTATGAACAAATAAAATGGTGATTGTTTTAAATCATTAAATGTTTTTTGTGTTGTTATGCAGTGATAGATAATTGTTATAGTAGGTCTGGAGTAGATTAATATCAGTGCAAATGGGAAAATGTATACCTAAGATATTTGGAATAACCCATGTTTCTTGATGACTCTTCAATGAAGAGGCTCAGGGAAAGGGCAAAGCCGGTCAAAGAATATAAGAATTTAGAAATAAGTGCAAAAATCAGAGTGAGTTCAGGAATGAAGTTGTATGAAGGGTCTTCAAGAAAGCCCTCTGCCTAAGCAATTAAAAATAACAACTCATCTGTTTTGAAAAATGCAGATATTTATTAATTGCTAACAATATGATAACATTTCAAAGATTCAGTTTAATAAGTGTATTTGTAAAGCTTTAAAGGCATTACCACGCTAGCCACTTTTTACTTTATATGGAAAAATCAATCTTTAGAATAAACAGGAAAGCACATAAACTCAAAATCAATAACAATTTACATCACACTAATGATAAAATTCATTTCAGTGTACTAGCTGTCCACTTGTACAGAACTATATTCACTCAGCAATTAGACTGCTAAGACCAGGGCTTCTAATGGAATGCCTCATAATTTACTAAATTTACAGAAGGAAATTATCAGTGGTATTTACAGCTTGATAGATGCTGTGTGTTGACTGTTTATTGTGCTATTCAAGAAGAAACAGTTCTTCAGATGTTTAGCACTTAGTCTTCTGTTTAGAAACAGTAGCCTGAAGCAATGTCAGTCAAACCCACTACTTTATTTTTATGATATTTAAAAAAATCAAAGTAATAAGCAATAAAGAGAATTTGGAGTGGGGTAAAATGAAAATAGAGTCATAACTTAAAAAATGACAGTAAAGTAAGTCTAGAAAGTGGGAGAATGAATAATGTGAATAAAGTAAAAATAACCCACATGCATTTTCACAGGCTGTAAGAATCACGGAAAGGTACATATACTATGTAAGTCATACAACAGAGTGAAGGTCTCTTGGAAACGGAAGGACAAAATTTTCAGAAAGGATAAAAATGAATGAATTTTAAAAACCTTGTACCCATTAAGCAGTCAGTATTAAAGAAATAGCATTGTGAAGTAAGTGTTTAAGATCAAAGGATAACTAACATACATTTGGATATATAGCATTTCCAGAAGCTTTAACGAAACAAAGCTATCCCAGTCTTTTAAATATTGCTGCTTACCAAGGATTTGGGTTATTAATTCTCTGTCAGGCTGAGGAGACAAGAACTGAGGAAAATTATTTGGATGTGGGGATCTGGAAGATCTATGTGATTTCCAACGTACATTAACTAGTTGGACCTTAATATTGGACGGACATGCATTAAGGACAACCAGTAAAATCAGAGAATGGCGTCTTCTAATCGATCTTGTACTTTGGTTTGTAAGAAAACTTGTATATACAGAAGTTACTAAATTTTTCAGAATCAGAAATGAATAAAATATACATAACGTCAACCAATTTGGAATCCTACCCCTACCTTCCCTTTCCGTCCAGTTAGCTTCCTACGCTCATGCCTGCATCCTGTGTCGGGGGTGGTGGGCTAAGTTCTTAGCTTTACCTGAGTACGAGTTTACGCAGACGGGACTGGCAATGCTACTGCCTCACCCTCAGTTCCAGTCGGGTGCCCCAACTCCAAGCGCCCCAAACTTGCGCTCCGCAGAGGCGTGGGAACGGGAGCCGCGCCCTCCCCCGCTCGGCGGGGCGGAGCCGGCGCGCCGGCAAAGTGGCGAATGCCGGCCCGCCGGGTGCTCATTCGCGGGTGGACGCCGCTGCGCGGAGTCAG